CCCCAAAACCCCAAAACCCCAAAACCCCAAAACCCCTCAAGCCTATAATTAATTTAAAATAAAATAAAATGCATACTCTAAAGCCACTACCAGTCGAAGGAAATCTTAACAATAACGCTTACTCCAACAGAGCAGTCCATGGCACAAGCACTCCTTACTCCCAATCCAGTGCTAAGAGCACTGGATCGAGAAGAAATGCAGAGATGTTCTACGGTATGGAGCCAGGAGAACTATCTAAGTCTTCATACGCCAGGATGAAAACTAATCTTAAGAAGGAGGCTTCGAACCCTCCAAGGATCCGAAGCAGCGCTTTCCGTATTGATACTGGACTCAAGCAAAGTCCGGAGTTCAATAAAGCAGAAAAAGCATTTTATTTACAATCTGAGCCAGCTAGCAGAGGGAGTAGACAGGTTAATTCGAGAGAAGACAGGCTGAGGAGCAACAAACTTGCACAAGCAGGAAATCAACTGATGAAGAAGCAGGAAGATACTGAATCTAGGAAATATAAAAGGGCTCAGAAGGCTTTCTACTTATTGCCATCCTCAGCAGCAACTAGTCAAATGCCTTCAAGACCTCCATCTCAACAAAATGCTGGAGATCAGATGATGCATCTTCAGCAGATTACTGGAGGTGCAGGACCATACGGACCAGCTAGAGGTTCTTCCAAAAGATTCGATTCATCAGCCTCTTACAAAGCTGCTAAAAAGGCATTTTTCCTTGTAGATTCTCAAGTAAGTCGTACTCCTAACCCATAGAGATCTCAAGCGAGGACCGAATTAGCTAAATCCTCTTCTAGCGTTCATGATGAGCTACCAATTAATAATAAAATCTACAAAAATCCTACAAAGACCATGAAGAACTCCTTATACAGCATTAAGGAGGAGTCAACTGGGTTCGGCAAGAAGGCAGCCCTTTACAGGAACACTATGATGACCCCTAATGATAGAAACAATGGAGGATTTGAATATGATATACTGACTTGCAGCTATAGACCTAAAGTCTAGAGTTAAGCAAATCTGGGAAGAGCAAGGGAGGATATTCAGTTTAAATTTTGGTAAAACTTTCAACAATTTAACTGGCTATCGGGGTTTTGGGGTTTTGGGGTTTTGGGGTTTTGGGG